ATCCTCCGAAAGGTTTACAGCCTCATCGTAGCTGGGAGGTGTTTCTGGAGGTGTCGGACTGCGATGTACAGCAGGAGAATTCATCCTCTCACCAGAGTCTTCCAAACTGAAGAATCCAGCGTTTCGATTAGGAAGCCCAGCTAAGAGTAAACCGGCACGAGGATCCACCACCATCCTGGTATCAGACTAGTGGCGTGGGGGCAAGCTTCTCTCTGATCAACGAAGGCTGCGATTGCCTGTGGTGATGAAGACTTGGAGCAAATATTGGCTAGGCTGACCTCGGAATTCCAGGAAACCACAATAACTTAATCAGCAATTCTTCGAAAGAGATGGAGATTGTGCTGGGGTCTGCACAACTGGTGAGGACGGGCGTTCCAAGTGTTCAAGTAGTATGTTAAAACTATGCATTTGTACTATATATACACTAGACCATTTCAGTTCTAATTGCTTCACTGAGTGATAGTTATTGATAGAGTGCGCAACTATAAAAAGTGCTAAAATAGAGATCCATGGTTGCAAAACCCTTGTAGGTAGTGTTTTTGTATACTGGACCATAGTAACATCTAGTAAATAGCACCATAAATTCCATTCATTCCCATAGAACGATTAAGCAAAGTCGTTTATATAACCCATTGAAGTTCATGACCTATAAGGTCCTCTATTACCCAAAAAGTATCGTTTATTTTAAAAAAAAAAGAAGCAACTCCATGATGGCTGAAAAATTAGGCTTCGTCCAGTCCTCAACAAATCAGGGATCAGGCGTCTAGAGTGTAACGAACAAACCAGTAAAAGCGGGTGCATTGCACATCATCTCCACCACTGTCTTTGGCACCTAAAACACTTCAAACATTTTTAAAAATGGCGCTCTCTACGGATAAATTTGTCAAAATAAACAATTAAGTGGGAAAAGTGCTGGAATCCCCAGATTTTGCGAAAAAGGGTTATTTAGCTATTTCACCGTGATGTATAACCAGCTGAATGGTGGACCAAGTTTTACCGAAGAAGATAGTGCAAACTTAATAATCTCTTGCTAATTGAAAAATTTGCTCTCCACCGGTTTTTCTTATCCCTAATCATAAATAATTTTTGCGTTAATACTTTTTATCTCCGTTTTGTTCATTTTTCCTTTTCTTTTCATCTACTATTTTAAAGTCCCAAAGCTGTTCTTATTACAGAAAACCAATATTACAGCGGTCATCTACCTATTTACTCGGCTCCTACTATGTGGTCGTTGTTCACTCACTCAACCTTTCATTCATTCGTTCATCCACCATTCATCCATCATTCGTTCTCTTGTTCATTCACTCACTTAGTATAATCACTAATATTAATATGTAAATACGTTGTTGGCTCGTTCATCCACTCATCCATTCATTCCTTCCTTCATTCATTCATCCATTCGTTTATCTCTTTATTCATTCACTCCTCCGTTTGCTTAATCACTTATTTGCCACTATTATTAATATTAATACCAAAAAGCTCTACTAGCAAAACCTATTTTTTGACCTAAGCCATGCACAGTACAAACATTCGAACGTGGAATATGTGGTAAAAATTTGTAGGCAAAGCTTAGTTGTTAGATTACTCTCAAGCAAGTTTGATCAAACACATCGATTCTCAGTGTTTACATTCACATTTTCACTCAGTCCTACATGATAATCTTTTAACATCCATTTCTCCTACCAAGTCATAAATCTTCTAGTTTTTTGGAATACCTTAAGGTTTCAATAAGAGCATATTTGGCTGACTATAATAGCCTTCTCTATCAGAACTTGACAGAGTAAGGACCACTAAAGAGCAAAAATGACCTGAATGAGCGCTAGACATTCAGTGTCAACGTTCATGGGTGAGCCTCAAGCTTAAATCGAAACTGCTCTCGTTTTTAGTGAAAAAGGTGCGTGTCGCGCAATGATTAAAGTACTCAGGGAACACACACGTGTTGTTGCTTCGATTCCACATCCCAAGCCAGCCAAACCTTTTTCCCTCCAGGATCGGCAAATTGCCATCAGTCTTGTCTGAGAGAGCAAAAACAATTTGCCAGTCTGAAAGTCGTGTATGTGCCAAATATTCTTTCATTCACCTCTACGGTGCCTAATATATAATGGCTTAATGGGATGGTGTATCCCTAAAAGATTGATCAACGATGAATGCTTTGTTAAATAGTCAAAGAAAAAACTGAAGTCCGGTAGCTCAACCCTGTTTCTCAAAACCCACAGCTCTAATCACAGTGTGTTCTAAAACCATAGTATCAACTAAGAAGTTAAAACAATAAAAAAGAAGCATTCATATTGCAAACGGGTCCTAACATCCCTCCACTTACATCCACTTTACACTAATGTCCGTCTCTTCATTTCAAGCTTTCTTTCTGAAGAGATTTACAGAATGCAATCCACATTCATAGAATTTCGTATTCACAACATGGTTCGTATGCATGAATGTTATTGCCTTTCATGTTGCACTGAAAGTGATTCTGATGTTGCTTAAACAGCTAGTCCTAGCCCTTATAATTTCATCCTCTTCTCACCGGAAATTTCTTGTATGAGGCAGGTCATCAGATGGATTTAACTCTGAACAAATTCCAGCTATCCCTGCAGTTTTGAATAGCGAAATCCGTCATAGTAATCCATCGTTCCAATAACCGAAATGCTCTGAAAAATTTTTAGAGAAGATAGCCATAGCAGAAGACCAGTTCTTGTTTTCCCACTTTCGAAAAACAAGGGAGAAAGTATTGAGTTGTGTTTTTCCGAAAAAAAATTTGCTACTTAATTAGAAGAATCACTTTTATTGTAAATCTCCAAGTATAAAATCTCTTTTGAAAGTCTCATGTATGCTCAGATTAGATGTGGGCACTAAAATTGCATAAGGATAAAAGGATAAAGCTCTCGGCGTTGATCAATCCCTGAGAGATGCGGCGTGCATTTCACTTCATTAAATATCGATGTAGGTAATTGAATCTGTATATATATCTATAATATCTGGCCTTTACAATAACTCGCATTGGCCTACCCATGTATCGAGCCAGTGTTGCTATCCTCCCAGCAATTGTGGTACCAATTTGACGACTCCGGAGGCATGGAAGACTGAGGCATGGACGCTGGGATCGATTCCACGTATGTGTCGCAGTGGCTGCCCCAACCACTGCACCACACGCGCCCAGATTAGATTGCATAAATTACACTGATAGAAAGAATTGCTTTACAAACTGGAACAGAATAGTTGGAAAAATAACGCTTCATTAAGAAACATAGTTAACAATAATATTAAGTCATTCTGAAAACCTTTTGAAAAGTAAAGTACTGTTGCGGAGTAGATGAACGAGACCGATGTAGACTGGTATAGTAAGATTACCAGCATCGCGCTGTAGTGTGAAGTCGAGAACTGTTGTAACCACCATTTTCTTTGAATGAAAACAGCTAATTTAGCTGATGTCGATTTGCTCTCGCCCAGGAATCGATATGTTTACCTTTATGAAAATGATGATATGAAATTGAAACCGTCAAAAGACGAGGAGAGTTCTGCTCCACCGTAGTCCATAGCCATTACTGACAATGGCGTATTTCACTTCCATGTCACGTGTGGCGCTGCCAACCATATTTGTCACCCATATTAACAGTGGGTCGATGGTGTCCTTGCCAGACTGATCATAACTGGCTTTAATTCGTTTCTTCTCACTCATCATAGAGACGGCAGTGCCTAACAACACAACGTCTTCCAATCATTCCTTTCACCATCGCTCACGTTTCCTGCCTGTTCTATCCACAGTAAATGTTTACTAGTCAGGAGCTCCAGAGCTGTATGATTGGTGAGGCCAATATGACAGAGTTTAAGAGATCCAGCAGTGCCGTCTCACATTTCTAGTGAAAGGCATCCAGCCAGCAAATCTCCTCAGGCACTTTTTCTTGTTAGAGTTTTTCGCTCTTCATAGATCACGCTGACATCTAGTGCATTGAATTCTGCAAGATTTTGTAAGAATTTACAACTGTTATCAATTCTGAGAGAACTATAGTTATTCTTGCAACTTTTCTAAAATCGTACAAATTCTTAAGACCAGAATTTCAGAGCCGATATGATTGGGAGAAAGAGAAGCTCACAGGTCTTCAGTTTCGAAAATCTTGTTGTAACCTCCATAATTTAGAAATCATAGGTCTCATCAAGTAGCTTGCTTCACTCGTTCCTATATATGTCTTCAATTAGGATATCAAGCTCAAGCGGTCAGCATTCATGTAAACCATACGGATTCTTAAAATTTCTTCCTATCATATGCTCTGCTTCCGCTACCGCCAAAACCTTTACAGTGCATCGCCATTCGCTCCTCCTTAGATTACAATGCCGTTCGTAAGTACAGAAATTTTCAGATCTCAATGGAACGCTACAACACGGACACATTTGACGCGTCCGACGAAGAACTACGGGAAAAAGGCGATTTCGATGATGACGAAAAGCTTATTTGTGGATATGGCAGGTCAGTGGAACGTTGCTGCAGGCCATCTTTCAAGAAATGTCGTTTACTTGTTTTCGATAATTCCGACGTTAAGCTGCAAAATTGGAGTTGTAAGGGTAAAGTTCTAACTGAGGCATTGTGGAACTGCGCGTAAGAGGCATGAAAATATTTTGAAAAAATCGCTTTAACGAAAAACGCATCAATTTCTATAAACCCTGAAAATTATTACTTAAATAGTCATGGTAGACATGCAAGATTGGAGAACGTGTTTAAACGTTGGATAAAATGATGCTGAGATATTTGCAAAACTTCATAGCACAGATGTTTGCGGTGGGGATCGAACGCGTTCACCACCACACCATGCGGGTCATTCGCTTCGTCTGTTTTTCAGCTACTTCTATCGATCAGTGCCATCAGCAATCACCCGTCAGTGGGATTGATCTGGGGAGTCTAAATCGGCAATGAACCCAGTCAAGTTGAGGCTATAGTTAGTTTAAAAAGTTGGATACTTAGTTAGAAAGAGAGCAACGACTACTCAATGAAGGGCATTTTAAAACGGATGAATCTGGTGTCAAAGAGGAATGATGCTCCTTTTGAGAAATCGGGTATTCACGAAAAAAACAAGTCCGGTAAAGTGACTTATTTTAAAAACAACGGAACAGTCGTCTGTCACTCGACTACTTACTTCATCATGAGAAAGCATATATTTGTCCATCAGTCGTAGAGCAGTGGGCAAAAGCTTAAACGATCTTGTCTTCACTAGTTTCTTATAGAACGAGAAGATTCAATTTTTGATATCGGACTACGAATTGATTTCAACCAGTGAGTAGAATCGTTGTCTCATCTATAAGTCGCCTTCCTTCTTTATTGATTATCCTTGGTTCAGAGCAAGGTAGAACTTCCACAATCGACCATGATTGTTCCTAAGATATGACTTCCATCATCGACCGGGATTGATTTAAATAAAGCCGCCCGAATACTGCTGTGGTAGAGATCGAGCACATCAGAAAATGTCTAGTCCTGCGCTAAAGAGTGGGCTTGTGTACTAATCCCTCACGAATCGGCGACATATTGAGATTATTGTGCTAGTGAATTTAAATATGAATGTTCGCATCTGTATGTTGGAGGTATGAGTTAACCATTACGTGTGCACTGAATAATAAAGCTATGGTCAAAATCAGTCATTAGGGTGGATAAAGCAGTTTCTAACTCCGACGTTTCTTATGGGCCCAGAATTAAATTAGATTTCTAACATCATAACTATTATCTTAACCTTTTCATTTACTGCCTATTCTTTTTAACGGCAGGGTAGCAGGGTATTTGCGAAATATAACTACTATAATAGCTGAGAGACAGGCAAAACGAAGGACCCGTATGGTGTGGTGGTGAACGCGTTACTCCCCGGAAAGGACAATAGCGCCTTCGTTCCCCACCTCAGACCCCTGCGGCTCGGAGTTTTGCAAATATCTCAGCACTATGGAAATCATAATTATTATTAAAAGGCCAAAAATCTTCGAAAAGCTTTTTTCAAGACGTTATGAGTCTTCTGTAACATAGAAAACTTTAGGTGCACACCTAATTGGCTCCAGCGATTTCACAATGCCAAATATCTACTTCTAATGCTCGGTATCTGCGCTTTTATACAGGTAGGTCGTAATACACATTCGATCAACAGCGACTACAACACTTCATTAATAATTTTTTCTGTAAAAAAAGGCACTACAATTAGAATGTAATTAAGTGAACACACTGAAACCCTCTATGCAAGCGTTTCGACTCAAGCCTACACGAAAGAGTAACAACCCTTCTAAATGAGTGCCTCAACTGCTCATTCTTCAGATGGTCTGGAAAACACTGGGCACAAATGAGAGGATCGGGGCCAGCGACCGACAGCAAGCCTTGCCATCGCCTTTGTGTCCAAGGTGGAAGCACCAGTAATCGATCTCCATCCTTTACTCTACTATGGTTATATAGATGATTGCTCTGGCATTTCCTTAACAAAAGAGGGAATGGACAAATGCTTCGAGTTATTGATTGAACAGTTAGAGTAAATTACGTTTAGCTGAGGGGGACCGAAAGAAAACTGGCTTCCATTTTAGAACGTTCAATTTAAACAATCCTGAAACGGCTGTATCACGAAGTGGTATCGACAGCCAATTAGCGAAAACAAAATGGTTCATCACCTCTCCTCTTATCCCTCACACAAAGAAAAGGACGCTTGTAACAGAAATGTTTGAAACAGCCACTAAAGTGTGCACAGAATGTGAACAGAGAGAAGAATCCTTGAAATTCGAACAACAAACAGCTATTTCGAATGGATACGAAACTATGGCTCCTTGGAGTAGGTGCAGAGGAAAACGCAAGCTTCCAAACAATAATTCTAGCAATATTGAGTCGCATTTATCTCTATCTCGTTCTCTTCGTCTCAAACGAAATAAGCGTTGCTATAAATTGTTGCTTAAGAACGGCCGGTCTAGAGAATTCGGTAACAGTGACCTCATAGGTTTTTGGAGTTGATCCAAAAAGTAGGGAGGGAACTGTAATGTCACTGATACCGTTTATCACGATCACAGTGATGCTTCGATCCCGCCTGGTCTCACCAAGCTCCTCATTTCCCATGCAGTTGAGTTGGCACCAGGCGTGTTTGGAACAGCTCAGTCCCTGCATACCAGGTGGGAACGTTCGAGCCCGACTATCCACGACACCAGGGACCATCGACTCTGCCGAACCTATACAGAAAAGTTTGAAGACCACCAGGCATGACGGATGCGATGAAACGAATCAAATGTAGTTTGTACCGTGATCCGTACAATAGATCTGAAGACGGGTAGCGTAAAAAAGCATACAAAAAGTAAACTCGAATATCCTCTTTCACAATTTGTAATTTCCATCATGGATTTGAATTACGATAGCAAATTTACAGAGTTTCGTCGTGAATGCGATATTTCCTGTAGGACTGTCGACGTTGGAGAAGAGATTCAAGATGACGAGGTTCTCTTTTCACTTCCATCGAACTCCTATTTGGCTGTCTTCAGTCCATAGCACATGCGAAATATTAACTTGTAGTAAACGCACTGTTTTGAATAGGAACACTCATGTCGTTGACGAAAGCGTCTAGCTTTTTCTTCACATAGATCGCTTCTTATTCTGCCTTCAGTACTCACACTGGAATCATCTCTAGCTGGTACGACTTCGCTGTCCTGCTTGTCGTTTTCCCCGTTTGTCATTGGGGAAATAGCGGTGAGCGCTTTTTTTATTTGAAAATATCTTCGCTTCTACGGAGATGGAAAACTTGAAAACGAAATTTGCTGGTTATTACAAGAATTCTCACTTTGTAATTTCATGCATACGATTCTTGGGTTGCCCACGTTGTAGAAGAAAGAGCATCCACTTGACGAGTTATTGCAGGTAGCCACTAGTAGATGTGTTTATGCTAACCGTCTTCCATGAATTTGAACGCTGGTCTTTCAACCCCGTAGTTTTGTTTCATCATGTATAATTTGTATCCTGTCTTTATTGGATCTGAACATTAACTTCTCAGTGTCGAACCTGATAGATAAAAACGTAGTGATTCCAGGTCACAAGGGCCGTTGGATCGGTTGGGGTGGAGTGGTAATGGCTCTCGGATCGTTGGTGTGTGCTCTACCGCATTGGCTAATCGCACCGTACGAACCAGAAGACTCGGATTTCAACAGCACCGATTTCGGACAGTGCACCTTTCGGTGGGTTTGAGATGGATTCTTCTAAATTCTGTTGTTGTTTGAACATTACTATGTTGTATTTATTGTTGTGAAGTAGACAAATAAAACTCCAAATTCACTTTTTCAAAAACCGACTTTCATCTGACCACCGTAAGACTAATCAACATATATTCTTCCGCTGATAATCTAACACATGGTTCGTAAAAAAAAATTCACAGCTTGTGAAGCAAATGTGAAGTGTAGGATGGTTTAACACTTATGGTTACTTATTCTTTTTTGATAAGGTTACACAAGGCTGATAAACATTCTTCATTTTCCTGCTAACGTTTCGCCGGTTTCGTTCTCATCAAAGCCGATGGTCCAAGTCGATGGTCCACAGTTGTTCGTGTTCTCAAGGTGGCGCCTTAGTCGCGCATCGAGCTCGATCTTCCTCAGTTGGGCCACCTCGAGAACACGAACAACTGTAGACCATCGACTCGGATCATTGACCCTAATGTAGACGAAACCGTCGAAACGTTAGCGGAAAATAAAGAATGTTTATCAACCTTATGTAAGCTTACCAAAGAAAGAACACATATTGATTAGTTATATCGAGTTTTGAAATATTATAACTTATGGTTATATATTCTAAACCCCATTGTCGATATCATAGGCATTTTACATAGTAAACAATGAAGAGGAGTATTGGCCCACGTAGTAATTTCTATCCAAGTTTTTCTTCTTTTCCTCGACATTTCTTTAATTCTTTCTCATGATTACCTAAGGTTTCTAGCTTGCTTTAGTTTAATGGTTTGGTTTTTTGATATGTTCTCACAAGGCTGGTATCAAGTCTTTGTTGTGGCCAATATTTCGACACCATACTCTAGGAAATTCCCGCGGTGTTGAAGTCCACTAAATTCGACCGCATACAGGTGAAAGATTTAAATATCGCAAAAAATAAGTGATGTGGACACTCTGTTCAAATCATTGATGCTCTGAAGCCACAATAAAGCCTTAACACCCTTTTTAACTTTACAAAGCACAGCAACATTGTTCAGGCTTATCGATAAAATACAGCATGGCTTATCGTGCCAACGTCAAATGAGTGTTCGTTCTAGCAATGCTTCTTAACTTTTCCACCGTTCTCGAATCGATATTGCAATAGATCGGTGGCATCATCTTTCTTTTCCTAGGTTTTTCTGTAGGCATTGTTCTCTTTCAAGATGATTTGCCACAGCACGCCAATAATTTCTATGCTTATTTCCCTATTTACTCTTTTTCATCTTCCCATTTAATCTGCTCGTAGATGTATGACTATTTCGTTTTCAAGCTTTCATTCCTTTTAATCGTCGCCTAGACATTCCCAGGCTACCTTTTCACTCAAATCGTTTGATGGAAATCAAAGCACGGAATGAATATTATACTAGTGACGACCATGGGAGAACCATTACACGTATGAGAACTATACCTAATTTTTTGTGACAGCCGTTTGAGACTGCGCCTGATTTTCTGCCACGTTCGTCGTGCATTGACAAAGTTGTCCGAAGAGAGGTTTTTTGTAAAACCTTAGATGTTGGCAATACCATTGCGCGGACCACGTCTAGTTGGACGCAAAAAGTTGGGTAAATAAGTTATCCGCGGTATAACAAGCAGTCATTAGCAATGTGCATCGAAGTCGATGCATGAAGTCTACTCTGCTTGCCCACACACACAGGTACTGAGACCAATACATATGACCGCTTGTATGCTATATTCTGCCGAGTACTTAGCTACAGTAAGTAAAAAAGAATTATTAGCGGTTAGCATAAAAATCTAGCAATGATTTTAAGCGGAAATCTTTTTTAAAAGATAACGAAATCGGAAAAACGAACGGTCCTTGTGCCAACCCGAAAAATAGCCTCGATAGCAGGATTTTTACAAGGATAAAAGTGGTTGTAGTAACGTCTGGGAAAATGCGCGAATACTTTGAATGGAGAATGAATGCGAATTCTATTATTGACAGGGAATTGGAGGAGCCTGTATGCGAGAGGCAGCCGTTGTCCTCCTATCTCAATCCGTACTTCCTGCTCTTCATACTCGGCCAGACATTGCACGGTGTCGGCTCGACTCCGCTCTTCTCCATAGGCACCACGTTCATCGACGAGAATGTCTCTCAAAAAGCATCGCCCGTCTATTTAGGTTAGTTCGCTCGCGTTCAATAATAGTGGTGGTGGGCCTTCTGAGCTTCTTCACTTCATTCTTTCTCTATCGGAAATATTTTCTGACTATAGTCGAGTTTATTCAAGGTAAACTTAAGTTATTCACTTGTCACCGTTCTAAACGTTTTGGGGAGTAGTAGATAGGCTTATTGTTGACCGTAAAGTAGAAAAGACTTTCCAAATTCTTTTAGTTTTTGTCATCCTCTGTGATCAATATGTGTATTTCACGAAGCTGTTAGCTGAATGATATCGAAACTATGACAAACACAGTGAGAAACCTTAGACTTCTGCGACCTCATCAGTGAACCATTGCCACTACAGAAATCTATTGGCGCTTAGAAATTTTTTATCACAGCAACACAGACTTTGACAGGTCGTACCATTACTAACCGTTTACAAAATGAATCATGACTAATTCATAAAGCTTTATCTTTCTCAAATCGTGGGCAACACCTCCTATGGAGTCCATTGAAGGTGGCTGGCGGTGTCTCCGACATAAGAAATGACAAATAGACTAATTTAGCTTGTTTTGAGTGAGTAGTATAGAAATACGAAACTTAATCATAAATCAACTTCGTTCTGTTTTTTTGTCTAATTTTTCCTTCTTTAGTACCTTCCTGCGCGCTATGCTTGTTGTGTTTATTCACACGTGAGTAAAGATTTCAGCTATTCATGCCGTGCTGACTTCATTCGGGCCGGTGATTGGCGTTTTTGTCGGTGGTTTCCTGTTGAATATTTACGATGACTTTGATCGAGTCGACAAGTATGTTTTTAGCTTCACTTTTGCATTATGCGATGGGATCGCTCATTCCGCCCCTCTGCATCCATCTGGCCAGAGATTGACGTGACGTTGGCCAGCTGGATGCAGAAGAACGAAACAACTCTGTCAGCAAGCGGTCGTTATCGGATCGGCTGGTCCTCCATTGCCTTGATGAGGAAACACGAATTTGTTACTATCACATCACTTCTTCATTTAAAATAGCTGACATTTCGGCGTTTCCGCATTCCTCAGAGGCTGGAAGGGTCAAATTGATGGGTAATCTGCTCGGCCAAACACTTTCATCACTTTAGTAGACAAATCTTAATACATCGATTTTCATCCCCATAATAAACGGGTTCTTTCGAAATTCCACCGTATCGTTCCTTGTAAGTCTTCCAATTATTTGGTGGAGAACAGCCGCAGATAGTCTTATATGGGAGAGGAATATGGGTGGCTCAGGTCAAAAAATCAGCCTGAGGTATGTGGAATTGCGGCTGGTCTCCATCAAATGACTGGATGATTTGCAAGGAGGAAAACGCTAAGTATAACTTTTTATTTACTGCCCATTATTTTTTCATGGCAAGGTGCTATGTGAACTACAACCACAATAATGACTTGATCGCCAGGTCAGATCGAACCGCGATTACCCTTTCCGAGGACTCACGTGCTACGCAAGGCACCACTGAGGCCCTCGTTCTACTTTTCTCCCACCATTCCTTTCACCATAACGGTGAGTGTTGGTGAGATATTTGCGGAACTCAGACCCCAAGACAGATTCGAACCCGCGATCACCCTTTCCGGAGGAACACGTGTTACCCACTAAAGCATTGAGGACTAGCTTTGCTTTTCCAATTTATGTGGTAGGGGCTTTGCGGATATCTCGGCATCATTGCCGTTCACATGAAACGATGAGTATTAGAAGGTGCTACTATGCGAATGAAAATTTATCCAGTGAATTAGGATCTGACGAGGTTATGAAAGGATATGGCTGGGTAGATTGCATGTAAAATTGACCTTTCCAGGCTCTGAAGAAGGCGAAATATTGTATTCGCTTTCGCTTTTTGTGAATGGATAAATGCTGTAGTGCAGGCCCATGTCTGTCCATTAAGAAAACAGTGATTTATTGACCAATGCCAAAATTGAAAGAAAACCGGTCCTGGGATTTAGACCCCCGATCACTCGTTCGGATCCTCGCTGGATCGGTGCGTGGTGGATTGGTTTTTTGGCATCGTCGATTTCGGCGCTAGTGATTGCGTTCCCGATTTTGGCATTCGCTCGTGAGCTTCCGGAAGCTAAACGACATCGAGCTAAGGACGTTAATCAGGTACCTGGAAATTTTTAATCGTATTGAGAATAACATTGGTTTCCTGATAACGAATAATTATATAGATATTTCCTTAAAAACGATCCACCTTACCGTATCGTGCAATTATTTGCGATATTTTTAATTTTTGCTGAAAAACGATCACATCGCGGCAGTTAAGGAATGTTTCTACCCCTAGTTTTTGGCTAACCATAGTCCTGCATTCTCAGCGCTGATTTCACTTTGTCAAATTCACAACTCTAAGCTCCATGCAATCCTCTCCCTTCTGCCTAAACTACGAATATTCTTTTTATTTACTGCTTGTCACAATTTTTCATGTCAGAGCATTACGTTTGACGCAACCGTAATGATACTGAGATAGTTACAAAATTCAGGACTGCAGGTGTCTGCGGTGGGGACCGAACGCGCTATTACCTTTTCCGGGGCCTAAAGCGTTCACCACCACACCATGCAGATGCTTCGTGTCGCCTGTCTCTCAGCGGGTTCTATCGATCAGGCAGGCTTTGAGAGGCAGGCTTGATATCTTTGTTGTGTTCGAATTTGCGCACTCATACTTTTTCCGGGAACATTTGCATCAACATTTAGTGCCGACCTATTGTGCAAAACATTTGAAGCAAAGGTACTGAGTTCCGCGATGAAAACAACACTCTACACATTGAAAAAATCGATAAAATTAATAGCATGAATAGACACAATCATTTTAAATGTTTTTTTTCTACACAGGCGCACGCTGTGTGCGGTAACGTGAAGGAGAAAGCACCAAAAGACGCAAAGAAACTTCCCATAGTTATTTTGGCAAGTTTTTTCATTGTAATCTTCTTTTTGTTTCTTGATGAGTTCAAGAAATCCCTTGGAACAAATCCCTACTCAAAACCTCTATTCAAACAATATGATTTTTGAATGCGAAGGTGAGTTTTCACTCAGTTTTATGGAATTAAGTACTTTCTTAGACACTTGGATGAACTGTCTTCACATGTCATTTGGATCCCAATATTTCTTTCATTCGTTTCGTTGTCTTACATTTGTCATCCATTAAAGTGGAGAGCGTTCGGGTGTCGAATGGACTCTAACCACAACTTAAGAATCTGTGGAATTTTTTCTTGGTGATATGTTGGATTCTGGTCGACAGTGATTTTCTACGGAAAGGCGACAAAGCCGTTCTACGACGTTCTCAGGTCGTCACCATAGTCAGTTCCCAGCTTCCTTAGATCAGAGTGAAACTTGTTGCCTCACGACTGAGATTCTTCCACTACGAAAGCTGATCCTATGGGGTCATCGGATAGCGCGACTAGCCAATTTTTTCTTAGAAGTTTTTTCCGATTATTCGCATAGATACAGTTATTTTTAAACAGTGTCAAAGGCATTAGAAATTTACAGAATTCTGATTCTAAATTATCACTCGATCTTTTTTCCAGAAAATCTGTCGAAATCCGACTGTTATTGTTTGTATTGTGATTGGCATATTTGAATCAATTATCATCAATGGATTTGCCGCCTTTATGCCGAAAATTCTGGAAACTCTACTCAGCACCACACCAATGCTGGCGTCGTATCTTTCGTGTAAGTTAACAATAAGTCCTGCCTGCTTCGAGATTTTAGCGAGTTAACTAAACGTTAAGATTCTTCACAACAAAATTGTCTTGTGTGCCAGGAGTCCCATGATAAGAAGTGAAATATCAGCATATGTAGTTTTCTCTTCACACACGCATTCCGCAGAATGCATCAGGGCCCAGGAAAACGAAGCCATACAAAGTGTGCTCATTGATCGAAACATTCTGTAAATTAATACCTCTTTGCAGCGGTGGTCATCTTCGCCGCAGCAGCCGGTGTGATGGTTGGTGGAATGGTGATCCGTCAACTAAAATTGCAGGTGAAAATTCACACTGAAAAAATTTGCCTAATTGTTAAGGCTATTCCTATGGCAGGAGTAGGAGCTCAGAAAATTGATTCTATGCATTTTTGCATTGATTGGAAGCATGAGCGTGGGAACTCTTCATTTAGACTGATGTTATTGAGACTGTGATGAAACCCGATTACTAACTGATAGAAACATGTGGCGCGTATTTGGAGGTGTTTTGCGACACACATAGTCGTTGGTCCGACCCTGTACTCTGGGCTCACCAGGTTTTCCATCCCTACTGGTTCGTAAAATTGTACCAGACTTGGTTGGGAAGATGGCAACCTCAAGGTTGTACATAAGCGAGTCACTGCAAATCATTGTGAAGGCCAGATGTGCATTCAGTCACCTCTACGATGCTTCTTGCAGTCGTCCCTCAGCGACGGGTTGGTTCAGAGCACTTTATCACTTAACGCTTACACAGTGTCTAGTGAAGTCCATATTTTTTGGCCATACCGTGTATGAATGGATGGAAAAACGATTTTTACTGTTCCTTCACTGATCAGAATGAATAACTGGAATCTATTATCTAGAACATTTTCTATCGACAGTCCTTTTCTGGCTGCTAATGAGAATATCTTCTGAGTTCAGGTGAGTGGAATGCTGAAAATGATCGTCTGCTGTCATCTAATAGCGCTGATGTTCACCACAGGCCTGCTCATCCATTGTCCACAACGATCTTTCGTTGGCATTAACACCGACTACGAAGATACGTGCGTGAGCTGTTTTTAGAACAAAAGAAAAGGTTTTAAAAAAGTAGCGGAACGCCTTGAATATTTACTTACTTATGACTGATCACCATATCGCCGAACCAGTATCAGTTCATCAGCAAAAGCTGCCAGGTACTCACTAAGGTGGTGGTGAGCCTTTCAACCATGCCTCATTATCGATCACCTCTAAGAGGAAATAAATCTTCTTATCCCTTTTTCCTTGGAATTTGGAAATCTAACGGTGGTTGTTAAAATTTGCTAGTAACTAAAAATGTTACGAAAGGAAAAGACCAAGTCAATAAATGGACACATTGAGAAATGTTCTTGATTTAAGAGAGATCCACAATAACGTAGAATACAGCGTGGACGCTCCATGCAACTCTGAGTGCTACTGCAAGGTTCGTTTGTAATAGTTTCATTTTATTAGAGGTTTCCAGGCTCTTTCACTGAGATGATTACGTGTAGTTGCGATGCCAGCAAACCTGAAAATTCAGAAAAGTGCCTAGAGAAGTGGTGCCAAGAAAGGAAAACAGGGGTATTTCTGGAATGGCAGTGCTTTCCTGAGCAGTTGGTCTTCTGGTGCGTTGTGAAGGCAAACACAGCTCGCCCTTTATTTTTCTGAGAAATGATTAGAGATTGAACTTCTCATTAAATTTAGTCCTCACTTCAATATTGTTTTGGAAAAAATTGTTGTCCCTATGTTATGAATGTCGTGTTAGAAAGATTCTTTGGGATGGAATAGAAGTGACAACGACATCAATTGTGTTCAGTAATGTTCATAAAGTTCTTCGCATTTTAGGGTGAATGGAATCCGGTTTGTGAGCGAGACACAGGTCGTATGTACTACTCATCTTGTTTTGCTGGATGTAAGGAGAAGAAAGACATTGACGGGGTCAGAATTTTTTTTACTTTTTTTTATTTTCCACGGCCCTTTTCGTTTCTACTATGTGGATCCTAGCACTTGTACTCAATTCGTTTCTTCACATCTCATCCACGGGTGTGCTCGAACTTCTATCGCGTAGACTCGGCCACCGCTTAAGGATCGTAGTTTCTTATGTGAATGTGGTAGAATGCTAACCAATTCGATTCTCCTTGGAGTTCTAGGACACCCAAGCTAGAGCGTCCCGAGTTAAGTTCAAAGGAGTGAGCTGTTCCCGTACAATCCCGCTACCAGTTTCCCGACCCCAGAAAGATGGGAGGTTTGGTGAGCTCTGGGTGAAGTTGAACCAGCGTCGTGTTCGTGATGAATAGGCCAGAACTACTCTAAAATTTTATGAAATTAAATGAAGATGCAACTGCAAATGATCGCAAAGAGTAATGAGACGGCTTTCGCACATCCACTTTTCCTGTTTCGATCTGAACTGTTCCGCCAAATACATCTTCTACTCTTTCAAGCGAAGTTTACTTGGTAGCAGATTGGTTTAAATGCATATTTATGTTATTACATCAGGGTTTATGGCTTAACATTTCTTTAGCAGTTTAGAAGCTAAGTAGCAACCAGTAGTAATTGATTATAACTACTCAGAAATAAAATCCATAAAATCGTCGCAAAGTACTTTATAACTGCCGCTGTGAATATAAATTTAAGAAATTTTCAGAAAATCTTTTGGTCAGATTGTAGCTGCGCTCTCTCCAACATCACTCAGGATTCGGAGTCAACGAACTCCGTGGTCATCCAAAGAGGGTTCGTTTTTAAAGGTTCAGATATTCAACACATCGTATTTGAAAAATATTAAATACTTGCAAACTTTTATCTGCCGCCTAGTACAACTTTTCGTGGCAGGGTATGATGCACCACAATAATGCAGTGATATTTGTAAAACTCGGGAAAGCAGGTGTCTCCGGTGGTGAACGAACACGCTAAGGTCTTTTCGAGGGCTAACGTGCTCACCATCACACCATGCGGGTTCTTCGTTTCGCGTGTCTCTCAGCTAGTTTTCTATCTTCGAGTAAGTAAAAAGTTAACATGGTGATTTCGACTGCAGCCGCAGCATAACTGGGCTCAAGGCCAATTTGTGCTCCCCAAATCAATGTGGTTGACGGGCGATTGCTGATGGCACTGGTAGATGAAAGCTAGCTGACAGAAAGGCGGAACGAGGCTCGCATGGCGTGGTGGTGAGCTCGTTAGCCCTGGAAAGAGTAATAGCGTATTCGATCACCACCGCAGACGCCTGCGGCCCGGAGTTTTGTAAATATCTCAGCATCATTGTCGTTGTATTTGACACGATACTCTGCCGTGAAAGGTAGTGGTAGGCTGTGAATAAAAGGCATCAGCATTTAGTTTTTAAACATACATATCTCGGCCGGTAATAATGTTTTAACCGAAACGAAACAATAAATGCAGTATATAATGCCGAGATATTTGCAGAACTCCGGACCGCAGATGTATGCGGTGGGGAACGAACGCGCGCTATCGTCCTTACCGGGGAGTAGCGCGCTTCACCACCACACCATCCGGGTCCTTCGTTTTGCCTGTTTGTCAGCTAGTTCTATTGATCTTTTGCCATCAGCAATCACCCGTCAACGGGATTGATCTGGGAAGCCCAAATCGGCATTGAACCCAGTTAAGCTGAGGCTTAGTTATAATCACAATCTCAACCCTTTTATTTACTGCCTTTTTCTTTTTAATGTCAGGGTATGTTACGAAATATAACTCGTATATAATGCTGAGATATACGAGTTATATTTCGCAACTTACCCTGCCATTAAAAAGAAAAAGGCAGTAAATAAAATGGTTAAGATAATAAATGCAGTCCTCAAATATCATAGTTGTCAAGTTCTCTTTCTCTGCTGAGATGAAAGCCTGAGCCGGTTTAACTTTCCTTCTAAAGTTTTGGCCTCGTATTTCGAATAAGACAGCAATTGTACAAGTGGAAATTTTCCAGGACACAGAAAGCTTAGCAATTATTTAGAAAATTACTTGATACTTGATACTTGAATGGCCCGTCCTCACTGATTGTGCGGGCCACTGCATAATGTCCATTTTTCGGAGATTTGCTGGTTAAGCCAATGTGGTTCCCTGGAATCCCGAGGTCGGCCTGGCCAAAGTCTGCCTCAGTTCTTCACCACCACGGGCAGTCGCAGCCTTCGTGGATCTGAGGGAGATTTGCCACCATGCGACTTTGATAGGCTTACTCTTAACTAGGCTTCCTGATGGAAACGCCGGACTCCTTCTCAGCTTGGAAGACCCTACCAGGAGGACGAGTCGTCCCGCTGTACATTGCAGTCCGACACCTAAGAACACCTCCCAGCCACGATGGGGCGGTAAACAGCTGGGAGAATTTAGAAAATTGAATCTAAAAAAGTGGGAAAATGTTGTGACTTTCTAGGAAAGTTCCAAATCTATTTTAGCACGATAAATTGGTGTTTGTTCTACAGATATGGGAATAGCGGTTACCGAAAGCTAAAACGACCACTAGCGTTTTACTCTCAAAATGAAGCTAACGAGTTGAATAGAAGAGAACTCGAGAATTTTGACGTTAAGGTTTTCTTCTTCCTTAAAAATTGCTTTAGATACTGCAACATCGATTGTGGCTATAGCGTCTACGTATTGATGGTGACATTGTTTATTACTGTGGTGGCAAGTTTTGCTTCCGGAATCCCTACACAGCAGGTACACATATGGAGATTATTGACTCTACTAGTAATTTTCCAGCGCTTATTCCCGGAAATGTGCTAGGTATCCAAATGGTGTCTCATGAAATCATAAGGAAAGAAGGCCAGTAATTTAGCACCGTAGTACCAGATATGGAATATAAGCGGTTTTTTTTGTAGACAAGAGATGTAGAGCAAAATCTTAATTGCGATAACTTTGGCTACGACACTAAGAATGAGTTCACCAATTGTACGCCCCTCCTGTAACCGTAACTGATCGGCGATTGTTCGATATAGCTGAATTCTCTTGAATACTGTAAAACAGTGAATTTGTGAACACTTGTCGATATGTTAGAAGCTACAAATTCAAGAAATATGTAATGTTTTTATAAACAACACTTGTTGAGTCAAAGGTTTCATGTAGCTTGGGCGCAACGATTTTTTGCTTCATCTTCGCTTTTCTACTTTTTGCTTTATTTTCTGGACGTGCATGAGAACTAGTGAATAGGTCACCTGGAGACATTCTTGCTGCCTCTTTCAGATAATGCTTCGGGTTGTTCCATTCGATCAGAGAACACTAGCACTTGGCATCAACTGGACTTTCCTGAGATTGCTCGGTAAAGTGATTACGAATTCAAACCGTTGAACGATTTGTACATTTCCTATTATTTCGTTGTAATACACGTATTTTGGAATGAATCCATGTTGTTTAGGATTTATTCCCGGCGGCATTCTGTTCGGTATGATGATTGACACTGCGTGTCTCGAATGGGAGGAGAGCTGTGGTCGCCGCCAGAGCTGCCTCGTCTACAACCCACTGACTCTCAGTTCGGCCATCACGGCGCTAGGTTCGTGTTTTCATAAAGCGTAAATAGCGTTAGACATTGAGCTACCTCATAAATGCTTGCCATTTATTCGACGCTATTAAGAAAGCTATTAAGACCTGACTGAATGCCCAATTGGTGTATGCAATAGCTTTTATATCCCAACCGACTTATCAAATCGGTGTTTTTATCCCCACAGACAAGTCTCTATTTCGCGAACATGGGCCAATGGAAGACGTGTTAAAATTTGGTGGTGCTGTGAACTTCAGCCAGCGACGATCTAGTGGGTACCGCAGATCACCTCGAACTGCTGCGCTACATCCACTCATGGATTGGATAAGTGAAACAGATCTTGTATGCAGACAACCAGGAATTATTTACCGAGGAATACGGACTACATTTGGATAAGTGATGACCGAAAATTCTTGTAGAGACAAAATGTATTCCTCCTACCATGCTATAAGATGAACGTTGTAGAATTTCCAAGATTGATCGACTGCTGTAGTTCGACTTTGGTTTTTGATGTAACTCTTCCCGATCGATATTCTTTTGAAAACCAGATTTCAAACTGACAGATAACCTCCATTTGACAAGCAATGCGAGCCATAACATGCCATAAAGGGTCGGTTGAAGAAGTTTTGTCCACTTATAAAAAATTTCAAGAAGACATACCAGAGAATTTACAGATCTTCAGCAAACGATGCATTTGTACAATTTAGAGGGAGAGCAGTATGCAATCAGTAGATTCCTAATTACTGCCAAAGGTATCACCTATTGTCTTGCTCGTCGTCGAGAGGCCAGAGCGAACGCCAGTAAACATTCCATTTCTTCCTGTCGTATGCAAGACTAGCCCAATGGGTTCTGCTTACCCTAGAAGCTAGTTGGGCATCATATCTTTCTTATAGGACTTTCATGAGGAGCTCTGACCATTAGATCGTGGTTCTCTTGGCGAGTGTTTGACTTTCCGAGGAATCCAGTCGCTAATGGCTTTTGCACATCAGTTGTCATTTAGACAAATAACGTGTCGGGTCTATTCCATCGAGAATGCAATGAAGAGAACAAAGAACACCCCACTCCGTGCCCATCTTTTCGACCCCACGATTCTTCCTGACTTAACGTATGCGTCAGAAATCTGGTCGCTGCGCAAGCATTATTGAAGGCGCAATCGAAAGGACGATGCTAGGAATATCCCGTATCACACAAGTAAGGGATTGGATTCGAAGCCCCAACCTGCGTCAACGACCAGAAATCAAAAATGCCATTCTGCATGTCGAACTGTCGAAGATAAGGTGGGCCGGACACGTAGTACGTGTGAAACACAACTGATAGAGAGGAGCCGTTAGTGACTGTATTCCTCGGGATGTCAAACGTACTGCAGGAAGATCACAGACCTGGTGGTCAGAGTTCTTCACGAAAAGACTGGAAGAAAGGTACGATACTCAACGAGTCCCTAGAGCGAGCAGAACCCACTGGGATACTCTTGCACGCGACAAGGAAAAATGGAAGATTTACTGGCGCACGCTCGAGTCACCCGAGGACCAACGAGCCTATGGGAGATACAGGCGATACAAATGATACAGGTGATTTATTTCCATACCACTGTGGTTGAAGGTATTAAAGTAATTTGTTCAAAATCTGTCTGAGGTGGTTTTACATGCAGCATTATAGTTTATGATGGTAAGGAGACTTCTGGGAATTACAGTGTACCTGACTTGACAATGATGACGCTCATTAGAAGTTTATTCCCTTAAAGAAGTATATGTGCAGCACCAACTGGAATGTAAATGTCTAGTTAGCTAGATACTTACTGCAGGAAATAGCCCATTTTATTGGCACGTGTAAAAAAGCAGAAAAGGCTTCATCACATCGCTGGTCAGCTGAAACAGCAACTGGAAGCTGAACACAATACAAAGGATATGTGTTGTGCTTAAGTGGAATGATGAAAACGAAATTATGGTGATACTGATGATGTATGACGTGCCCTACCGCCGAACTACCAGAAGCGGAGATGAGTGGAAGCCAAAATTATGAGCGATATAGGACTCATAATGTTGCGAATGTCTTAAACGATAAGGCTTTATCAGTGGTTAACACCACTCATGTCGTGGTGATTCTTTGATTACTATCGATATAAGTAATCGGCGATGCCGATTATTTCTGTGGACTATAAGAATTCTCAATACCTTAGTTTTGGCTTTGTGATAAAAAGCTGTCACTTTCGATAGCCCACATTCATAGTGCAGCTCTGCTTCTAGTCAGAATCGCTAGCACTGGAATGTATAAAATAACGCAAAGTACTACTTTATAGATGAAAACCAGCATTATTTCGACGTTTCATCGAATCTTTCTCACAATGTGGATCCATTAATGACGAAATAAATTGATGATTGAGCGACTAAGTGATAAGTTCGCCTTTTCAGCAATCGTCTGCAAGCTACTGTCGATTCTGACGGCGCTGTTCGGTTACATGACGTATCGACCGACAGACCTCGACAACGGCATATCGATACAGTCGGTGGATTCACTCGGAGCGCTACATCTGGTCGTTAACGACGACAGACCTCCTGAGCAGTTCTTTAAGCGCAAATCTGCCATTCATTAGTCTTCACCAAACGTCCATGTTCATTACGGTATTAAGTTCTCAACTATTTATATACGTGTATTTAAAGAATCACTCTGGTGCGTATCAGGCCAACAGGAGCGTTTACATATTGTGGCTACCACTGGTATTGCGTCGATAGGGTTCCGTTCTAAGGAAATTTCTTAAATAGCTGGTATTAATCAATTAGAGACTTTCCTTGATCAGTTAGTCTCCCCTCATTGTAAAATATGGTTGTCACAAACACTAACGTGGAAATACCGTCGTGGTATGCATCTCATGAATCACAACGTTCCAAACTAACTAGCTCTGCAGCTTTTCAGCTCCTAGCAGTGGTGTTTGTGTTTAATTCTGACAGTGCAGTTAGCTAGCATTTCTGTATTGTAGTCATGGTAGGCATTAATGCTATCGCTCCGAACAGAAATTACTGTTGAGTTGCCCTAACTAGCCACTTGTGGCATTGTTCCGTGTCAGCTTGTATGAGGCGGACAGAGCTTGCTAAGTTGGTCTCGTAGTCCGGAAAGCTATGGGAGTTTTTTTTTGTTTTACTGGCCATACTACCTTGCCGACTATTTTTCTCCTGGCATTCCATAACGAGGTACCCTGTTAGAAGAACAAGGAGCTGCAGTACATGGTCAGTTTTTTGTGCTCACTCTCAATCTTCCTCATTTTCTCGATCTATCTCTATCTGTATGTCTCTCAGTGTCTCCTTCTCCTTCTCGCTCTCGTCTGTTTCCTATACCAGTGTGAAATTTCAGGTATGTTGTGCCCAGCTTTAGTTAGACAGTGTTTCCTTGTCAAGTTCATGTTAACAGCGGTGAAACGCAATTGGAAGTCTTCACCCATCTCATTCTTAGTTTCTCCTCGATTTTTTACCTAACTAAATATTATGTATAGATGATTGCTGTACATTAATATACTTTATAAGTTAATATAAACAGTGTCTTGAGTACAGTGAATTAAACCACTTGATGAATTGAAAGACCTATGAGCAACAATTGCAAGAAGGCCACATCAATGATTTGCTGCTTTTTCCTTGCTTTGGTCTGATTTGCCAGTTAGTTACCTTTTTTCATGTTTGACTGGAAGGGAACATAGCGCTGGCTGGTGAAGGATTCGTCATTCAGGTACACAGGTCCGTTGGCTCGACCACGTTGATAGCTCTCACTCACTTTGCCACAGTTTATATGCGAAGAATAATACGCCCTTACTGGATGGCTTCAGCAATTGTGCAAACAAAATCAGCACTATCCAGTTAACCTTCAAAACGGGCCATAAAGTCCGCAGAATTGTGGCGATATTTCATACGAGTTTGGTGAGTACTGAGTCGTTGTGTGTTTAAATTGTTGAGCTTACACGAGGTTGATAAATTAGTTCTATTCGCTTAATGTTTCGACGTCTTCGTCATCAGAGCCGATAATCCGAGTCGATGGTCCACAGTTGTTCTGAGTTGCGAGTTATTTTACAGGAGTCGTTATTTTTTAACTACTAATGATTCGTTCTTCCCAACGGTTTACCGCCTCATCGTGGCCGGGAGGTGTTCCTTGGTGTCGAGTGGCGATTTACAGCGGGAGGATTCATAATCCTGGCAGGGTCTCCCAAGCTGAGGAGGAGCCCGGCGTTTTCATCCGGAAGCCTAGCTAAGAATAAACCAATACCAGGATCCACCACCGTCCTGGTACCGAATTAGTTGCACCTCCCTCTGATCCACAAGAGCCACGACTGCCTGTAGTGATGAAGACCTGGGGCGGACTTCAGTCGGGCCGACCTCGGCATTCCAAGGAACCACAATGGCTTAACCAACAAATCTTCGAAAAATGAAGATTGTGCTGGAGCCCCGCACAGCCAGTGAGGACGAACCATTCAAGTATCAGGTATCAAATAATTATTCGTTACTAAGTATTACACCTGAACCGTTCAGTAGCTTTCTACTCATCCCGCTTTTAGTTGGATGCTAGTCCTCAATATTACCTGCCCACGCTTCATTTCGCGTATTGGACCAATTGCTGGCACACTAAGAAATACCGCCCTTACTATACCACACATACCAAGAAATACCACACTGTAGAGTAAAAGAATAGGGAAACAAAAAAAAGTGTTAAAGAATTATGGAAGCTTTATTTTCTTTTTTCTTTTGGCAGCACAAGATGAATGCAGTTCTGCCCGAGTTTGGTCAAACTCCGCTTATCGAGATTTGATAGTGATTATGACCATGAAAAAAAAGAGCGCCTAGTGAGTGGTTCCTTATGTGTTCAGAGCAGAACAGACCGGTTCCACAATATCAACGAATTCATAGGAAGCACACGGACGTAGACGGATTTCATGATTCATGGGAGCCAAGAATTCTCTGCTTTAGTGTTTCATTCCAATTTTCTGCATTTGGTTACAAACTCCCGTATCACCGATAATTCAAAGCATTTCAAAAAGAACTAACTATACTAGTTGGTATCCCGTTAAATGTGCTTATTTCAATCTCATAAGAGTGCACAATTCAATCTCACAAGAGAGCGTGCACAATTACGATTAACCAAGGCTTTTAATACATAGTTCTCAGGGAACGACTAATTGTAATTTCGAAGTCCTATTGTCAGAACAATAGATGACAAAAAAATTTTTAGCAGCGAACGATTTCATGGACTATCGGATAATGATAAACGACATAGTTGAGGAGAAGGAAACGAGCGGCTTGGGGACCTTTCAAGAGCATCGAGGATGTAGTGATGAGAACAAAGAACACCAGACTCCGTACCCACCTTTTCGACTCAGCGGTACTTCCTGCCTTAAGACTTGCGTCAGAACCCTGGTCGCGGCGTAAGCAGGATGAAAGACGACTAAACATTATTGAATGCACAGTCGAAAGTACTATGCTAGGAGTATCCTGTCTCACACAAGTGAATGAAGGAGGTTAACCGAAGCTCCGGGCTTATGTCAACGATGAAGAATCAAGACGCCTTCCATAAGCCAAACTGCCTAAGATAGAAGCCGTTAGACACTGGATTTCTAGAAATGTTAAACGTACATCGGAAGAAGCTCCAACTGGATGCTCAGAATTCTTCATGAAGACTCGAGAAAAATTATGTAATGCTCTGAGAGTCCCTAGAACGAACAGACTGGGTTTCTCTTGCACGTAACAGGGAGAAATTGAAGATTTACTGGCGTCCGATCGAGTCAGTCGACGTTGAATGAGGAAACAGTGATATAGGTGATAGGTGACCGGATACTGTTACCACCAAAACTTGAGGAAATTGTGTGCTAACCTATCATTTTAGAATTAAAGTCATTGGTCTGGTAACCACTAGGTTTCAATCCGTGTTTTAAAAGTTACCAGGATTGCTGATTTCAGTCGCTATTAGCTTGCGAACTAATGTGGACATTTACGAAGTACGTGAATACTTAAAAAGATAAAATAAAATAAAATAAAAGTGAAATAGGTAGTACTTAAAATTTAGTAATGAAGTTCAAGAAGTCTCACCACCGATTTTTCAAACGAATTTGCACTTGCTCTTCAAAAGAACGCCCATCATCGTTATGTGGTGTATTTGTCATCATATAACGTCAAGAGTAGCAAATAACCGTAATCACCTGGGCGTGTCCTCGAACTTGAATGCGCACCAGCCACAACGCCCACGCTTGCCATTGCGCCATTAGCACTGCTGAAACATCTCGCCACATTTTGATTGTACTACACATCGCCGTCGAATTTGAACACATTTCCACTTTTAACTTTGTTCACTTTATTTCAAATACAACTTCAGGCAGCAATATATTCATGTATAACTTGCTATCTTCTTTACTTGCACATTCTCATTCTCTTGTTTGCAAGGATAGTAAGTCGTTCATTGAATAGTTCTTTACCCTTGAAATGTAGAAGTTGTTGCTCCAAAAGTGAAATTGCACCCTCACTAACGATCTTTAGACAAGGATGATTCATAAAACAATACTGCAACGAAGCTACTTGTAATAGCCGCTCGCCTTAATGCAGAATGAGACCAGCTGGAATTTTCAACTGCACTATAACTTCTTCACATTGCCAACCTCATAAACGCTAATTTTACAAGTAAAAATTTACACTGCTCAAAGCTTTTTAGCTTTCGAGCAACCTTGGAATTTTTAACTCCGGAGCATATCGTGCTAGCATAATTACATCGACTCTGGAGGGTTTGGTGAGCCCGAACGCAAGATCAAACCAGCGTCGTATATCATGCAGAGCATCCCTAACCACTGCACTACATGCGCCGTTGTAGTTTCGATCGGACCTAACATAGCAAGCTTCTGATAACATAGCCTTCACATTGGAAGCACTTAAAAAAATTGCGCTAACAAAAACAAGCCAGTTATGTCCAAGGATTGCTGAACCATAAAATGGTGGTGAACTGAGAGAAAGAGTACAGAAGACATTGTTGTGTGTTCTCAAAAAAAAAGGCTAAAGTGAAAGGCAAATCCTGTTTGTACTTTTTCTCACTAGTATTGTTACATTGCTCTCTCGACTTCACCAACAGTTTGAAAATTTCTACTAAATTTTTCACAATTCAACTGCAGCATTTTATTCAAGCTTGAAAATCTTCCTTAATTTCTACCAGGAAGGTTTTGTAACTTTATCACTACTAATAAAAGGCTGGTGCTCTCCCTTAGGCAGAAAACATATAGCAGTGCAAATGCGTGTACAGGGTGAATTTTCTTTAAATTCCTAGGTGAAATCAGGGAGGACTTCGATCACACGAATGGTCACAAAACCTCGGCTATATGACGAAATCACTGGTAACGAGACCTATTCCTTTAATGACAACAGGAGAATTTCTATGCAGAAAGAAAGAGATCCTGACATTCTGTAACAGAGGGGCTGCTCAGCTGCTTGAAAGTAGCAACTCATCTTCAACGATGGATCCTTTAAGACAAGCCGACAAACGAAAAACACCTTCAAGCACGAAGCCTTTTTAACGACTAATAATCGCTATGTTGAGATGAAAAAGAATGAAAGCACCACCGGAAGAATTTCTCTCCAT